AGCATGCCACGACACATTCTCTGTGATAATATTTCTTAGGAGTCCTTAGGAGTTGTTGTTGTATGCACTCGAAATCATGTTCTAGTTACAGTTGCTAATATTTAAAACATGGGAAATTTGTGAAGTCAAACGTTCATCAGTTGAATTTCCAGTTGCGAAATACGTATTTTGACCTTTTACACCTAAACAAACCCAGTGCGCATGTGTGATGACCGTAGTTTCATAATGCGCATATATTTTATAGTCACATTAAAAAAATGGCGGGGTTGTATCATACTCCGCTAACTCGTTACCTGTGTAAACAATCGCAAACTATCATGGACATCAAAGATGAGCTAGACAATGGCCTTATCAGGATTAATTTGGGTTGAAACAAAAGGAAATAAGCTGAAGGCTTAAGTGGCCACTTGATTGGCGTCGTGGCTCCTTCCGTTAGTACCTTCCATGCACTGACTATCACCATTTAACTAGATATTATTATTGTTTGACTAGCTATAACTAGCTAATGCCTATGACTATCCAGTGTGCCCAGTATACCATTATAGCACTCACACCTTAATTGGTCTATTTTTAAATCTAAAGAAATATTTAACCAGCAATATATTGTGGATGTTCAATGTCTTAGTCATACTGGTCACAAACATTTTTTACAATGTGAAATGTTGAAAATCAGTAATTATTTTACCCAACTGTGAAACAAAACAAAATGATATGTATATTATCACTGTCACATCTGACTTGTTCATTTACCAAATTTAAATGTCCAAATAATAAGTAACACTTAGCACCAACAAAACAAAATGACATTTAAATAAAAAATGAAATATATAATAAGTAATAGTTTATAATAAAAGCAATTACTGGTATTAAGAATTATGATGACATGGGCTGCTCATATGCCCATTTTGTGACTAAACGCGGAACTCATAGTAAAAAGGCATCCATTGCCCTATAAAGTAAACTCTTGTGATGTGTGGACTGAGAATGACTGGGAATGAATGCATGTACCATAATCTTGTAACATTACAGAATATTTTCTTCCAAATGACAAATAAAAGGCAAAGACGTACATGACATGCATTCCGCTAATGAGTATACAAATCATTCTGAAATCTGAATACACAAATCATAACTTACTGGTCCTTGAATTTATCCTTCGCATCCACAGCTTTCCTCTGTATCTGTAAGATGACATCTTTCAGTGACAGTGGATCATCTCGTCTCAATGTCAAACCTACATCTACAGAGATATACAGAAAATGGGTTAAAACATGACCATCCACAAAATATGCATGCATTAATCAGATGAGACTTTTAACTAATATATTTAATTTTTACTGCTACAAATTATCACTATTTTAGAACTTTATTGCAATTAAGTTTGGCTCATAGCCCAAAAAATTTCATATGTTGAAAACTTATAACCGATGTTACAATTTTAAGACCAGATGAGATAATCACATCAATTTGACTTATTTAGAGCAGTTCAGCAGAGAAAATTACAGAAAATTTTGCACTGAAATATTACCTAGGGTGCTGAGATAACAAATATAAATACATTGTAAGCATTGCAAGAAATAAAGTCTGGTTAAACTATTGCGAGATGCAAAGAAACCTACTTTTCAGCAATAATAATAATAACTCAATATCCCCTTCTGTAAATCTTTCTATCAGCTTCCTGATAATGTCGTAGATTAGAACACAATGTATAATCTGGAAAGGAAAATAAAATAAATTATACATTATAAATGTAATTACTAACTTAAGTTAGACGACACTATTAGAAATATGCATAAAAAATGATGCACAAACTGTTGTTGCTGACATGAGACATTTATTTAACTCTTTGATACATATTTTTTTTTTTGCCAAAATTTTAGTGTAACTTTTAGCACATTTATATGTATTTTTATACATTTTTTTTTGTTAATTTTGCACCAAATGGGTACAATTAGTCATTGGATGCAGATCTTAATCAAAATCTTTGAAAAAATATGGACAAATTATGAAATTTATTTTGTGAATGATGATGAAAATATACATAGGCGTTCAAAAAGTAATTTTAATATCAAACAATATTGTGATAACAAATAGTTCTGCTAAATATTTACCAATCTTTGAATGGGTTTAAATAATATTCTGATGCACCCAGAATTTTACCAATTGTTTAGAAGAGGATTACCAACAAAGTGTCAGTCATTGTACGATGCCATGTTCAATATGTAACACAATGTTTATTACATGAAATTAAAAATTGTTTGCAGTTCATCAGTTAAACCAGATTATTAACATAATAATTAATTTAATATGGTTTAAGTGCCAATGTGCAAGTATTTTTCACTTAAGCTTTTCACAGTCACATAGTTTACGAGTAATTTAAATTTTATATAATATACGATATCAGAGGTACATTACTTGGGGTTTGCAACTACGGTGACATGATACCAAGATCCTGTCACAATCTTGCTCTCGCAAAAGCGTTCCAACTCAGAAAAATGCGAATGCGCATGCCCGAGGTAACTAGGATACTGCAATGTCCAGGTGGATCAAAATAGCTGCCCACGATATGACGGATTACGAGAACT